GGCAGGTATATGGTGCCTGTATTTTGGAATGCGCATTGAGTAACTTATATTGAATATCTTGATAAAAGAGAGACCACCAACTGCGATTATAAGATTGTTTGAAAGACGAAATCGGCTTCGAACTTCAGTCACATCCACCGTATTCTCCAGATCTGGCCCGCAGCGACTATTGCCTGTTCTCAAATCTCCAAACACTTGCTGGGAAGAAATTTCCGTCGAATGAAGAGTCGATCGCCGAAACTGAGGCCTATTTGGAAGCAAAGGTCAAATTGTTCTACAAAATGTTATCGAAAAGTATCAGTGTATCATCCTGGAAAGTAACTATGTTGAATTGAATAAATGAATTTTGCGAGCCAAGTGTACATATATTTTATTTTGGTCTGAAATGATATATTTGCTGCTGGAAAACAAAGTGTTTGTATTTTTCAACTGAAATCAGGTACTAATATAGCAAAATATAAAAGAAAATTATTTGTGTCACGCTGTGTTTCACCTGTCCATTTTAACTGTAAACCCACAAAGCGCCGTTTTCTCAATGTCTGGTTAGCAGCCTGCTGTCAGTTAGGTTCCGATTAAAGAGAGGTTTTATACCGAAAGCAGAAGTCTTAGTCAAGTTAACCAGAACTTAACTAATAAAATAGCCGTTTTTTTGAATGTCTAGTTAGCAGTCAACTGTCAGTTAAGTTCTGGTTAAAGAGAGACGCTTTGCAAAGCAGAACTCTTGATTAGTTAACCATAACTTAACTGACAGGTGGTTGTTTTGTCAATGTCTGGTTAGCAGCCATCTATCACTTAAGTTTTGGTTAAAGAGAGGTTCTTAACCGAAAGTAGGAGTCTTGGTTAGTTAACCAGAACTTAACAGATAGTTGAGTGCTAATCAGACATAAGGTTTTGTTTGAAGAGAAGTTCTTAACCGACAGTAGGAGTCTTGGTTAGTTAACCAGCACTTAACCGACAGTTGACCATTAAAAAATTACCTTAAAGATGTTTTTGCTATACTACAAAAATCATTATTAATCATATTTTGCCAGTTTAGTTTTTACGTCTGCTACGCTTTCTTACAATACTCACTATATATCGGTTCACAATATATATTTTTATTTTATTACGATTTTTTTTTAATCTAAAAACTGCAACAGAAAGTGCCTACGTCGTCTGCTGTATCTTACTAAGCTTACTTACTCTTCTAATCCGTTTTCATTACTATAATCTGTCGTTTTTTTTTTCTCTTTATGTTTGTATATGTATAATTGTTTTGCGTTTACTTTGCTTTTGTTTTTGTTTAATTCCTGTTTCCTTTAACTTTTACGTTACGTTAACTTTCGTTTACAGACATCTAACTTAATGGTTAGGCTAACTTATGTACTTTATTTGACTACTTTTGTTTGACAGCGCTGTCCTGCCTCACTTAGGCTACCGACAGCGTTGTCTTCGTTTGCTTACGAAGCAACAGCTTGTCTCTCGTAGTCATTACGTTCATATTACCGACATTATATGTATGCTTGTTGTATCTATTTTCATCTCTTTGGAAAAATTCCTTAGTATAGTTTGAGTAACTAGAGTGTTTATTAAGTTTTGAATGCGTTTTGAATATATTGGATAATTATTGCCGTCTCTTTTCATATAATTTTTTGTATATTAATATGTTTTGCTATTTTGCCTCGACATTTTCGTATTTTTCTTTCTTGTTTTTCTGTTAGTATTATCTAATTTGTAAAGAGTTAGAATCTAATTGCCACAGGGTTGCATAAATTTGAAGTTGCATACTTGTAATTATGCACTGTTATATGTATATCTAAATGTTAATTATCGATAGCTGCGGGTTAGTTGTAGTATGTACGTATATGTAGTTTGTAAAATTGTATAATCTATGGCATAAAGTTACATTTTACTCTTTCGGATAAGTTTCCGTGTTACGCTCATTGTTAACATTATGATGCTCTTTTTCTCTTTGGTTTTATTTACTTTCCGTTGGCTTTACGGTATTTTTACGTTACTTCCCTTACAACATAAACAGTTAACATTAAAATGCTTGCATACTATCATTCACAACGATCAATAATGAGTATTTTTTTTTTTTTTTTGGAGTGACATCAATGATGAGTAGAGATAAATGTGTAAGAAATGTGTGCTTCAACGTATGTTTATTCATATTGGGACATTTAATAAGAATATTGAGATTTAAAATTCATATTATGTGTGATGACTTTCATAACATTGAGTGAGTTTGTAAAGTAGAAACCAAAAAAAAAAAAACAATTCAAGTGACATCAATAAAGAGTAGAGAAAATTATGTGAGATAATATTTATTCCAGTTTATTAGGAAATTAATAAGAATACTGAGATTTAAATTCAAATAATATATATTTTTTTAACTCGAATTGAGTGAGTTTTTAAATTAAAAAGAAAAGAAAATTAAAATAAAAAATTGTCTCTAAAATATTTTTACACTTAAATTTTATAAACTGAGTGACATCAGTAATTAAGACTTAATAATATCAAATATTTGCAAAATTTTTAATTTGAGAATAAAATAGTTGAATGATTTTCGAGTGAGTTTGTACAATAAATTAGAAAGAAAAATAATAAATTTTAGAAATTAATTATAAGAAATCAATTTCAAAATTCATATATACATATAAGTAGTGTAAAATGAGTGTAAAAGACGAAAAATTTTATTTTTGCTTAATAAAGAGCGATTTCCTCACAAATCACTCAAAAAATTCTAAAAAATTTATGATATCAGCAATGCTGTATTTTTATAATATCAAATCATTACAATATGTTGTAAAATAAAATAAAATAAAAAAGTGATTTTTGAGTGAGAATTGAGTGAAATTTTTAAATTATTAGTAATAAAATTAAATTAAAAATTTTTATTATGGGAAATTATTTTAAAAATTCATATCAGTAGTATTAAAACTTAAACGAGATATTTTAGGGTTTCTTAAGTGGAAAAAATAATTTATAAATGATTTTTAAGTAATAAAAGCAATTTCTCATAAATCACTCTGTAGGTTAAACGTATTGAGTGAAGTCAGAATGCTACGTCTTCATAACATCAAATCACTGCAATATTTTTAATTTTAAAATAAAATAAAGGATTGATTTTTGAGTGAGAATTGAGCGAATTTCTAAATAAGAAGCAGATAAAATTAAATTTCAATATTTAATAATAACAAATTATTTTAAAATTCATATATATGTAATATAAATATAAATGCTAAGCCTTGATCAAGAAATGTATGGACTTCTAAAGCAATGAATTTTTTCTTTTTTTGTGTAATTAAGCTCGATTTTTTCGTAATTCACTAAAAAAATTATATAAATATGATATAAAATATAATATCAGGAAATGCTAAGTTTTAGTAATATTAAATCATCGCAACATTTTTATTTTTATAATAAAATAAATGAGTAATTTTTTTTTTTGGAATGAGTTTTTTTGATTGAGCAATTTGAGTGAGAAAAAATGAAGTTGATACTAATGTAGCTAATCACTATAAATGCGAATTTTACGTATAAATATCAAATCATCGCAATATTTTTTATTTTAGGTTAAATAATTTAGTAATTTTTGAGTGAGAAATCTAGATTTATAAACAAATGTAGGAAATTAAATTTTTAATGATGAAGTTGGTCTCTGAAATCATATATATTACAATTAAATATCAAATCATCACAATATTTTAATTTTAAAATAAAACAATTGAATGTTTTTTGAGTGAGATCTCTACATATGGAATTAATTGTGCTGTATATAGTAGATGAAGTGAATTATTACAACGAAAATATTTTTTTTTACTATTAAATTAAACAAAACAATTTCTTAAATTGAATTTTATCCGGTTAAACACTTGAGTGAAATAAATTTTTTGAGTGATTTCGAAAAAGCAATGATCGTATGAAATTGTGAACATAAACTAGGTACTTACTGTTTTCAGTGTTAATATATGGTAAAATAATTTTTTTATTAGATATAACAGGAATCACTTGCTCACATTAAATTAGGAGGCATCTTAATTATTAAAAAAAAAAAAGAATAATTAACGATACCGTTATCAAATGTGTTGAGTTCTAAAATAATGTTAAAATATGTCTAGAAAATTAGTTTTTTATATAAACTGTTTTAAATTGAGTGACTCAATGAGCAAATATATAACGATGAGTAAAAATGTGCTTTCATTGTAGTTCAAATAAATCCTTGTGTAAATGAGCTCGTTGAGTGAAATGTGCACATTAATGAGTAATTTTAAAAATAAAACTAATTTTTTATTCAGACATGAAAAGAAAAGAAATTTAAAACCTTTTACAGGACTTCAAAAAAAATTGAGTGACACAATGAGCAAATATATTAAGATGAGTAGAAATATGGTTTCATTGCAGTTCAAATAAATGCTTGATTAAATGATTACGTTGAGTGAATTTTGCATGTAAATGTGAAAACTGCTTAATAATTGAGCCATTTTAAAAACAAAACTCATATTTTACTAAACCACTCAGAAACGAAACAGTTGAGTTATAAAAAAAGATAGTTTCAAAATAGTTAGAAGCTCCCAAATAAATAAAAAAAAATTTATATACACTTTAAAAACAATTTTAACTCCAAATATCGCAATATGAGTGATTTCATGAGTGAGTGTGCGCGTAAGCTGAGTGGAATGTGGTGTGCATAACGGTGCGCATTGCCAATGTGCTACACTTTAATGGCTGACTGTGAATTACAATTATTTGCGTGAGTGTTGTTTTTTTGTTTTTATATGAGTGAGTTTTTTTTTTTTTTTGTTTGTGAAAAAGCTAAAAAATAAGTGCTGCTTACATTATGAGCTACATGCTAACTGACATATGTACTACCGCCGTAAATTTAATTCGTTAATGAGCTTCTTCGTTATGTCTTCCATTTATAATTATGCCACACTATGCTAACGGCTCATGATTTTTGAGTGTTACATCTATACTACGCACATAAGCACTTAACTATAGCTAAACATGGTTCGTGACTGATTGCGTCGCGTTTTAAAATGTTTTGTAATTGGTTTTTAGTTATACAGTTACAGCTTACACCGGCATCAAAAAATTATTTTAATTTCTTTTTTTTTTTTTGTTTGTTTTTATTGTTGTAGCAGCATACATATACACAAAATACGCACGTTAACTGTAAATATTACAACCAATGCATAACTGATTGCAACGCCAACTTGTTGTTACGTGACAACCGTTAATAGCCGCAATGTCGCGCTGCTCTCCCCGCTACTCCGGTGCACTTAACCCTTCTCCTTGTAAACGCTCTCTAAATTTCAAGTTATGCTACTAAAAATCGGTAGTCAAATATCGTTTGTCTTGTTATTGTTATTGCTGCCGGCGGTTGTCATCTTCTGCTGATTATTATTATTCTGTGTGTTTGTTGTTGCTGCCGCATGCGTTTCCACAATGGTCACCACATCCACCGACGTCATTTGCGTCTCCATTGTTGCACGGCGTTGAGCTGCTGCTGCCGCCGCCACCGCCGCTGCCGCCACACTTTGCACTTGTTCGATTGTCTTGTTTGTTGTAATAGTCTGTTGTAGTTGCTGGTGTTGTTGTTGTTGTGCTGTTAATACGCCAATATTAACTGTGGTTGTATTCGCTGTAATTGTTGTTGTTGTATTTGTATTAGTTGTCACCGTGGTTGTGGTTTGCGCCACATCCATATTCAATTGCCTACTAATCTCCATGTCGATGGCCTCCGCATCCTCCGGATAACGTTCGGAGCAAAAGATGGCGCCCTCACGCAGCAATTTTAACAAGTTAATTCGGTCCTCAGCGTTTCGCTTTGCACACAATGGTCTGCAGTGGAGAGAAAAAGCACAAAAAATACACAAAATATTAAAGATTATAATCTATATTCAACAATAGAACGTTCAGCGGGTGAGTGAAAATATGAGTGCAACCATTGAGTACATAATAGCAGGCCGGTGCATGATTGAGAATGCAATTTATAAGAAGATATCTTTTGTAAACTTCGTTCGTATTTCGTTACTAGCGCCAAACGGTTTACTGCGTTTTCATTTATTTTATGTACCCAATGGTCGTGAGTTTTAACTCAATAAATATCTAGCATATGAGTGTAAATACAAAAACTAGTTTTTACATTACGACAACAAGAAAGTTATGTAGTTGCAGAAATGTGATACTAGCAGTGAATATATGATATTTGAGCTGATCTAAACCATTTCTTCAGAGATAGCACCACTGTCTCAGACAATAACCAATGCTAATGAAGTTTTCTCTACAGGGTCGTAATTCAATCTATATAACAGCTCTATACTAATGTGATGCGATATCAGCGGCTTTGAAAAATGCGCAGATTAGTGAAGTGAAAACGATGTACGCAAATTTCTAATCGATATCTCGAAAACTCAGAGGCTTTCTCGTGTACATAAAAACAGGTGGTCATGAATAAATCCGCTCAACTCGTCACACTGATCATTTATATCGGGACTCCGACGTTACCTTCTAAACTTCGTGGCAAACTTTATATAACTATATCTTAATATACCAAAGTCTCGATATAAAGATTATTAACAGCTTTCTGAAAACTTACAATTAGAAAAGGTCTCCTTAGAATTTTAAATGGGCTCAGGGAAATGAACCAAACTTTATTAATCTTTATATTGGAGTGTCCAAAAAAAGACCACATTTGCAAGTAGATTCGAAAGATGTAACGAGCAGAGCTCATCAGCATAAATGCCACCCTACATATAGTTCCCATAGATATCGCTGGAATTATTTGAATCCGAGTATCTAAATGAACATATGTCTGAACATTCGGAAATCCCCACACGCTTTGAATACATACGACATCCGCTGGATCATGGAGTCGCCAAACCAAACTCTAAATGATTTTATACTTTAACCTTTGGATGATGGAGTAAGAAACCAAACTCTGTTGGCTTTTTCTCCGCCTACATTCCAGCGGGGGAGTTGTGGGTAGGTAGAAGATGGTGTCGGAGAGAGGCAGTGAGCGTCTTTACGGATGAGTCAAGAACTCGCATCAACTTCAGTTTCAGACTTCCGAGGTTGCTGCTAACATAAAACTACTGTTTAGGTTGATGATTGTACCAAACCCCTAATTCGGCTATGTTTTATGAAAACTGAAAAAAAAAAACTATCGATACTAATCGAAGTCGATCAACGCTAGCTAAATGTATCTCTCCCCAACAGCATAAAAAGATCTTGACAATTGCTATCAAGAGTCACAGTTTGGACCAAGAAAATGTCAAAACAATCTTCATTTTCTTCAGGGCTGAAGAGCTGGACCACATAAAGGTCTGATCCTCAGATCGTAGGCAATCATCCCCGCAACTACAGGTGGAAATTTTCAACAGGCAGATGGTTGTACGAAATTGACATCAGACAATGAAATAGATGGCATGTCTTCAAAAGTAAACAGATATCTTCGACCTTTCTCGCTTCTTCTCTACAAAGACACTAAAATTCTCTTCCGGCGCCCATATCGACTAGATGAAGAACCGTTCCCACGACAGTCAGGTCTACGTAATCGGAACGGTCCCAGATTTTTATACGACCCACACGGCAGAATTCTGAAACTACAACAACAACTAGACGAAAGAATACAGTATGTGTCTTTAATTCACAATAGATGGCGTTAAAATTCCAAGTGTCAAAAACCTTCAAATTTTAGAAGTTACATTCGACAGCCTATGCTACGACCGCGATAACTGACAAAGTACAGCTGTACAAAGAAAAGTTGTTAACAACAAACAAAGTAAATCAACTTTGCTGTCGACTGCTTTCAGCGAAGGTTATTTCTTGATTACAACATTGAACAATACACCGATCTAACTACGGGCACAATTAATTTCAGACACACACTGGCCGTCATTCACAGTGGAACCGATAAAACCTTCACCGACTCAGTACCAGGAGATTGTGTTCTTGGCGTTAAAGTTACCCCGATAATCTGAAGTGATCATTACGCAACTTCGTCTTGTATACTTATTGCAGCCGGTTAAGCTCCCCTTTATCCAGCTTTCTAGAAAAGAATACTTACTACTATTCCATAAAAACTAATTGGCTTTAATATATGCATTTTCTAACATCACCATAAACTTGCAACTTTTATTGCTGACATCTTCACATAAAAAAGCTTTCTCATTTTTCTATACCAAATACAGTTACGCAGCACAAAAACTCATTAACGTCATTCAAAATGAACGTTTCAGCAAAATATTTCCCACTTTCACATACCGCCGATTTTCAGGCAACCGCAGACCAATCATGCACAACCGATTAACGGTGTTTTCTTGTGAAAATTTTTAAATTTTCAAACCACACATTATAAGCAAAAGCAGCGATGCAGCAAGCAAAAGAGAAATACATAAACGCATATTTAAAGACAACCATGTTTGTATGTGAGAGTGTGTGTTTTTTTTATGTGAGCAATTTAAAAGCACGTGAACGCAACCACCGAAGAAAACCATTAATTTAACGATATTTTTGCATTTAACAGCGTAGGAAAACCACCCATTACGGTACGTGTATATGCAGTACGGGGTAGCTGTTTATACGTGGGTGAGCAAAAATTTTTATGGATCCGGATGTTGGAGTGAAATTTACGCTAATTTCAAGGTTGGTATTTGTTTGAAAACATTCATAAGAGGTATCCCTATTCGGCACCTTAAGCATAATTCTAAGTCTTCTCTTATTTCTTCTAAGAAGAATAGACTCTTCTCTCAAATATGGATATTCTTTTTTCCTTCGTATTATATGGAAGATAAACGAATGGAAAATTTATTTTTATTTTATTTATTCACAAGAAGTCGTAATTGACTTTCCCGAAAGGGACGAAAAGAGTGTTGCCATGTGTTTTGTAGAAAATTTGAAATCAAAAGCAGTAATAAGAGAGGCAAACACTACGCACCATGTTGATTTAAAAATATATGAAACTGTGGTGGTGAATATAATTTCAATAGTGCTGCCACCTATTTAAAAATTCGGAAAATGAGGCTGCCATCTATTTAAAACACATAAATATAATTTATAAAATCTATAAAATAAATAAAATTAAAAAAATTAAAAAAACGAATGAGAATGCTTACAGTTAAAAATATTCCGGATAAGAGTTGCCAGCAGTTTTTATTTTTTAAAGAAATCGTTAAATGTTGATAAAATATATTAAATATCACAATTCTTTATTTATCAGATTTTAGAAAATTTTGAGGCAAAAATATTTTTGAAAAGAGTTGCCACTTGTTTAAAAATAATATTAATGTTGTAAATGTAATGTTGCTACTTTCAATAAAAATACAAGCATATTAGTTATGTTTGATGAAGTTTCCAAAAAGATATACAATAAAATACATAAAACTAGCAGAAAGTTAACAAATTTTCTGAAAAGTGTTGCCATCATTTTAAGAATTTATTTTGGCAATTTTTAATTGTTAAAATGCATTAAATTATATAATCATCATCGCATCTTTAAGTAAATTTTCAGTTAAAAAATGTTACGAAAAGTGTTGCCACCTATTTAGAAATCCTATCAATACATGTTTAAAATATTGCTAGTGCATACCAGCAACATTTTTATACCAAATATATTTATAAGGCAAACAAAACTTGATGGTGCACAGTTAAAAATATTTCTGAGCAGTGTTGCCATCAGTTAAAAAAAATATTATTATATTTTTTTCAATTTAATTGGTAAAATATATCAAATACTAAAACCAAATAGCTTTGAGAAAATTTTCAGTCAGCAATGTTGTCGAAAAGAGTTGCCAACTCTTTCCAGAAATCTCCACATCTTAACTCTAACACATTCCAACAAACCATTACTAAATTAATTATATTTAAAAGATAAATAACATAAGCAGCAAGCTTGCTTTAAAAAAAAAATTCGGAAAAGTGTTGCCAACAGTTTAATTTTCTTTTAATTTTGTCTTTGCAAAATTTAAATGAAACAATTATTAAATATTACAGCAAAGCAAGATCTATGAAAATTTCCAGACGGATATATGTATTTTTTAAAAGAGTTGCCACTTATTTGAAAAAAATCTATATTTTAACAGTTGCTAATGCATTTCAAAAACAGTTGTTTATAAATAACACCAAGCAGTATGTTCGCGATAAAAAATATTTCTAAATAGTGGAGCCACCTGTTTAATATTGTAATTTGTAAATTTTTGTAATTGAATTTTTCAAAAAATAAATAAAAAAAAAAATATTAAAAATATGAAACTTTTCAGACAGATATATTTTTGAAAAGAGTTGCCACTTAATTGAAAAAAAATCTATATCTTAACTGTTGCTAATGCATTTCAAAAACAGTTGTTTATAAATAACACTAAGCAGCAAGATTTCTGTAAAAAAAATATTTCTAAGAAGCGTTGCCACCTGTTTAATATTGCTTTTTTTTTTGTTTACATAAATTTAGTAATGCAATAATTAAATGATTTGCCATAGTCGTCATCAAAAGTGGGGTCTCTCATCCGAGGCTGAGAAGAATAATTAAATGATACAAAAAACAAAATTAAAAAAAAAAGTATTAAAAAAATTTTCAGGCAGATATGTATATTTTTGAAGAGAGTTGCCACTTATTAAAAAAAAATCCCTAACTTAATTGTAGTTACATTATTTTACATACAAAATATATTCAGTCTCAATACTATCCATAGCACCCGCGTACGCTTTCCCGTATATTCAGTCAGAAAAAAAGAAACAGTGGGCAACCACACAAACACACTCCTGCTGTGTTATCCTTTGTGTGATAAAGTATAAATGTTTATCTGGTTTGTATGCAGATGACGTTTTCATTATTCAATGGGCACTCAAATATATGTAAACATGCAGCGCACACAATTTTTCACACAAACACATATCCATTGAAGCAGTTACAGCAGACCTGCGGGATGCTAGCTCCCAGATATGGAAGGTGAGTGCCTTGAAAACGACAGCTGACCATCAGCATAGGCGCCACAAATGATTGACTGCGCGAAAGCATTATGCGCGTGTAAGCTCCATATGTACATACATATATACATAACGCTGTTGCAATTTGTACGCTCAAAGGACGCCGACAAGGCTGCAGAAACCTTTGTTGGCTTTGTAATGTACTTAATTGCATAACCGCACCACATGCGCCCCTATCTATCATACAAACATATGCTTACGCCTAAGTGAGTTATAGTCGAAGTCGACATATGAGCTCTCTGCCGCCCGCTTCACAGGCGTGCAAATCGCTATGTGCGAAAAACGTTTCCATTTATAACACTTTATTAAATCATTTGTAGCTGTTGGCTTTTGTTGCATGCAACACATACTCATACCTGCCTGAACATACATACATGTTTCAATTCCAATGTTGTCGGTCAAGCCGCCGTTTCGTGTTGCTGGTCTGCCATGACAGCAGCGACCCCGGCCCCGGTGATGCATTATTCATGCGCCTGCCTCGTGTCGCATATTTTTCCATTACGACATCGCCCGCCTCAACGCTCACCGCAGTTGAGTACAAGCAAGTCGGCAATTTTTCACAGGACGTAGCGGTTAGTGGAAAAATAGGCTCGCTGGCTACCGTCAACGTTTCCAAATTGCATTACACCTTATATTTTCGGCGAGTGCATATTGCAACTATTTTTATTCAAGCTTGTTTCCCCAACATTTTCAGCCAATTTTGCAGTTCGCTTTTTTCCATAAAATCTCCGCCCATTTGCCGTTATGCATAAAGCATAATGCTTTATGACCGTCAAAGGCTGACTTTGCCAAGGAAATATCAAATTCCAGTGTAAAGCCTTCCGCCACATTTGTCAAAAGATTGATAAATTATTTTGCTTCGCACCAAAAACGGATTGCTAATGGCAGCTTGCTTTGATGCCAAAAGGGTAGCGAAAAAAATTTTAATACTAATTTATGGCTTTTGTGAATTTCGCATTCTTTCTGTACACTTTTTTATTGAAATTGCACTTTGTTGTAAAAAATATTCATGAAGTTATTAACAAATCTCCACCGAATTCTCCTTTTAACTAATTAAAGATTTTTATTTTTTTTTTTTTGCAAGTACTACCGACAACAGGGAATAGAGACGCACTTGCAGACAAAACTAGAAAGAGACCGAAATGTGTGACTACGAAGATGTCCGATGATTAAAATTCAAGTATATGCTGCCTAATCCACAAAAAGGGAGACCCGACAAACTCTGGCAACTACCGCGGGATAACCGCCATCGCCAATAAATTGATTAGACCTTATCAGTGTGGTTTTAGGATGGGAAAATCAAGAACTGACCATATTTTCACCATGCGCCTAATCTTGGCAAAGACCCGTGAAAAGATGACCAACACACAGCTAAAGCTGTTTTTTAACTTACGAAAAGGAGCTGCCTTTATGCCGCTAGGTCTGAATTTGGCATTCCAAAAGTTCCGTCAGGATTGGGAAAGACCGCTCCGACCCTTCGATATCAAATGAGGTTTCAGACAAGACGACTTTCTACTGTGCGACTTCTTCAATCTGCTCCTGGAGAAAATATTTCGGGCTGCACAACTGCATAGAGAAGGTACAATCTTCTAAAAGAGTGTAGAACTGCTGGCGTACGACGCTGACATCGATTGGCCGTAACAACAGCGCCGTTAGTTCTATTTTCTCCAGGTTGGACAAAGAAGTGAAGCAAATGGATCTGGGATGAACAAAGGCAAAACGAAATATCTTCTGTCATTAAACAAACAGTCATCGAATCATGACTTGGCTCCTACGTCACTGTTGACAGTCATAATTTCGAAGTGATGACAACGTCATCATGTCGCCCGTATGGAAGAAAACGCTACAGCTCTGGTAGTATTCGACGCAGTACCCGCTGGGGTAGGCAGAGGAAGAGGAAGACTCTGTTGGAAAGATCAGTTGGAAAACGACCAAGCTACACTTGGAATCTATAATTTGAGCCAAACAGCGACAAGGAAGAAGGATAGGCGCTCTTGTAAACTCAGCTAATAAGTTTGAGTAAAAATCGTGACCTTCTCCTTCTTCTTTGGCATTACAACCGTGGATCAGTCTTGGCCGACAACACAAAATATCGCGAAGTGCCTCAATTCTTCGTGTGGTCCCGCCAGTTGTACATCCTAATGCAGTTGGTCTTTCCTTCGAATGTTTGAGCGCCTTTGCTTCCGTTGTCTTGAGCGCTTCACTGGATCATCGCCTTCCATGTGTACTATATAGCCTAACCACGCATTCCTTATATTTTTATGCACTATATTATTTTTTTGTATTCACGTTGCCGCAGGGGTCATGCAGTTCATGGTTCCATTCACTTCGGTATTTGTCATTCACGCAAACGGCACCCAAGGCTCACGAATTCTCTATATACATGTCATCGAAGGCCTCATCCAGTTCGTGGCTCCATCTTCTGGATGTTCATCGCTCACGCGAGCGGATTCAAAAATCTTCAATCTTCATCAAGAATAGTTCTCTCGATAGATCCAAGTACTATCCCGATTAGTCATAGTCCATGCTTCTGGGCCGTGCATTAGGACGGGAATAATAAGAGGCTATTTGAGCTTATTTTCTTTCTTCAAGAAAAGAATCTGCTTCTTAATTGCCTACCGATCCTAAAACAGTATTTTTGCCAACAGTTCGAAGTGAACTAAATCCACACTAATTTTCTGTTTAAACTAGGTTAAACTCTAGCTAATACTAACACGTATATGTGACCCTAATAAAGGAAGAATTGGACAATGTAGGTTCTTACTTCATAGTTTAATTTCTTTTTCAGTTAGTATTTCGGAGAATAAGAGTAACAGCATCTTCGATTAACAAGAATATACTAACTGGTACTCACAAGAAATCTCTTTTGAAGACTCTTTCTAAAATTCTGGCAGGAAATATTACATTACGGAAGGCAAAAGTTTGTCTCAAAAAATATATGTTTTGTATGATAGATATTGTAGGCATGAATAAATATGTTTGTATGGAGAATAAATATGCTTAGAAGTAATGGCGAATACGAGGATAGTTTGATACCTTTATGACTTTTCGCATACCGAAAATATCATCTTGCGGTGTTTGAAGGCAATATTCGTTTTATTTTAACGCAAGCATCAAAAAACAATCTACATATTATTGAATATGGACTGTTTTTGGCTACTTTGCTTGAAACGTGATACACAGCCATATCAAACTACCCTCGTATTTAGGAATAATGATTAGAAATAAATGAAAGAAAAGCACATCGAGACAAAGATTGTGGGGGGGATAACCACCACATCTGGGCCTCTCCCCCTAACCTGCCTGAATCCTTCAACTGCTCCATAAAATCCTTGCCCGTTATGTCCACCAACGAATTGGGATCCATGTTCGACAACGAATCCAAATCCGGATCGCTCAACACCGACACATTGCACAGATTATTTTGCAATTGGCCGACCAATTGTTTGATACGCGCCGTCTCGGCCACAGCATCGGTGGTGTCACCAAGCTGCTCGCTGCCGACACCAAGACCACCACCAATAATGCCGCTATTGCTGCCGCGATGATGACTGGTGATGGTGACATAGTTAGTGGGCTGAAAAGAGAAAAAGAAAAAAGAAGTGTTATGTTATTAGTTATAAGCATTTCAAACGATTTTTCTTTAAGAGTAATAAATTTAAAAAAAGAAGAAAGAATTTTTGCTAGTAACATGTTCTCTTAATAAAAAAAAAACTTATTTCGCAGAATCTCCTTTTTTGGAAGCTCTTTTATTTTTACATTTATAATGTTGTTTTGATTTTTTCCTTCGCCAGCACGCAACAATCCAAAAGAGCGAGTCAATGTCAACTCTTCTCTCTCTCTCTCTGTTCCACGTTCGTTCGTTCGTTTTGTAAATATGTCATAGTTTGTCACCATTAAAATTTATGAGCCTTTGAAGTTTGAATTATGAAATGAGTGCAACACACACAGTTCGGGAACAATACAAAAAACAATAATTGCTGTAAGGGAGAGCGAGATGGCCTTGAATCGCAGAGATACGCCAGAGTTTAGGTAAAAGACTTCATGATTTTACTAATAAAGGTCAGATTTGTAATGTTCAATTTCATGCATGGCTTCTAGTCTTCTTAGAACCTTTAAATTTAACACGATTTTTGCTAAGTACGGTTAAAAACTCCAAATATACTCACTTTTTGAGTGCCTTTGCCATCTACTTTTAAAAACAAACAAACAAACCTTCCACTTACTTTGGCCAATAGCAGATACATTCTGTTTCATCAGAAGAATACCAGGCCACATATCAAGACTAACTCGCCAGGAACACCATGGGATTGATAAGGAGGTGCTTATGCATTCACTTTAAATTCCGGACCTGGCACCAAGTTATAGAACAAAACGGTTTAAAAATAATATGAATACAAAAATAATATTCCCCTAAGAAAAAGGCTCTAGTTACAATGACCCAATATAAAAAACACTTCCTTCGACATTCCTTTCATACTTACAAGTTCATCCCAAAAGGCAAACCTAGTACATAGTGTTTTCTTAGAGCATTGACTATCTATTACAGGGAACATTTCATTTACTAGCTGTTAAGATTATAACCAGTTTGGATCTTTCCACTCTTTTTGTGATGCTCTTTGACTAATTATGCAGTAATCCACCACCAACCAATCATCATAAAAAGTTAGACTTCTAAAGATCCTGATTATTTGCAGAGTCCTTCTTTGTTAGCTTAACATACTGTTATATAGTCTCTACTACTGTGCAAGTTCATCAGGCTTTTAACATATTGAAGTATTGGAGAGCTCTGTAATGACCGCTTTGCTCTCTGTCGGAATTGACTCATATTGAAATAGACCGTATTGCACTACAGCATTATTTTTAGAAGAAGAAGTTAGAAGAATTGTTAGGAATTATGGAACTAACTAGTACTAGAACTACTATTCGTTGCAAATGAGCATAATTATATGAGCTCTTGACCTCATGAATGAAAGGAGGGAAGTGAAGGCTTGACATTTCGTTTTCTAAATGACAGGCCACTATCAGTTTTGATGTAGGTTAGGTTTGGTTAGATAAAAAGGCTAATATTTATCAGATCACGAATAATCTCTGTACTGCTAGAGACGCTTGTCCGTTCTGATGCTCAGAGCTCCTAAATACGGTTCAAACAGACCAAAGCGCCTATAGCTAGCCATAACTTTTTTGAACTGGTTAATATCTACTCCACCTAGCTTATAGAAAATTTGGCAACCAAAATGCTACAATCTTAGTCCGACGAAAGCTAGATAATAAAGGAGAAAGTGTCTACATGCTTGCACATCAACTTTTTCCCTGCAACTTTGACAAGTTGAAGCACATCTGCTGTTACCTTAATAGCGATCAGGGCTTGTAAGTTAGTGATCTGGCAGTCTGCAACAAGGGTTGATTGAGATAACCCGACAAAAAACTTCCACTCCAACTCCAAGTGCCGAGAGCCCGTCAATGAGCGGATGGGGTACAGCCGAGATTTTATATTTTGAACTGCACTTTTCGCCGTTGCCATAACGCAAAGAACCATAAATCTTTCACAGAACTCTTATCTCGAAAACTCGAAACGCCGACTCATCAGATATTGTCATCGTCAATGCCTCGGCACCATTAGCAGGACAGGGCTGATGAGTAACTTGTAGAATTTGGTCTTTGTTCTTCGAGGCATTCGAGAAGCCCACTCAGTCCGAAGTAGCACCTGTTGGCAAGAGTTATTCTAAGTTGGATTTCGTGACTGACGTTGTTGTTGGTGTTAATGCTGATCTCAAGAGAGACAAAATTATCTACGACTTTGAAGTTATGACTGCGACGACTGTTTTTTGATGACAGAAGATATTTCACCCTGCTCTCATCCACTATCAGACCAATTTGATTATCTTCTTTGTCCAACATGGAGAAAACAGAACTAACTGCGCAATTGTTATGACCCAATGTCAGCTCACACAGTCGTATTTAATACCTCCTGGTAAATAAAACCAATTAAATTGCATTTGGATTGACAGCTAGACCGCTGCTTTCCACCCAACTAGCTACTACATTGAGATACTCTTTTGTTAGCTCGTAAACGGTATCTAGGAATTTTCCATTAACCATGAAAGCAACATCATTTACTTTTACAGTTAGAATATTAAATTTCCAAATTTTCGCATTATTATTTAATTATTTTCAAAAGCGCTTTTGTCTCAGCACCCACACTTTGAATTCTAACGTTAATGAACCAAAGCTTATGTAAAATTATGTAACGGTACTTGTGCGTCATGCTGTCTCTTTCACTTTACCGTTTCTTTTTTGTATTTTTTTGTTTTCGGGCGAACAAAGACTTGATCCAATGGAAATTATTTATGCTTAACTCATTTTACTAAATGAATTAAAAGACTAACCAAGCGTTAACCAGCGAACAGAGAAACAGCAGAAGACGAAAAAATGCAACAAAGCGAGGAAAATGGGCGAGAAATGTTTAACACCAACGGCGGGCAAGTGCAGTTCAACTCTCGGCATTGTCAAGGAAAATTAGCACACTTAAGACGCGCGAGTAAGCTGATAGACGCATTCAAGTTCCTGCAGTGTGATCCGTATATATCTAGGTTGATGTCAGTAAGATAGTCGTGCATTTATATATTTTTGTAAGGGGGGATATGTCGTCTTTATTAAATCCTTTTTGTCCACTTGTGCGCGCCTTAAGTGGCTTTTGATACTGAGTAGCAGCGCCGGCACTCGCATTGAGTATTAATCTTTCGGCAAAAATCGCGCAAAAAAATAATGCACGAAGCAGCGTCACAAAGCAGGCAAGTTAAAGGCACGCGTTGAAAATATTTTAATTACTATGGGAAATTTCACTTCTTTTGTCTGGTTTTGGGCAACGTGCGCTTGCTTTTCCTCTTTACTTCGCAATTCATTTCTTTCTACCAACTCAGCCCGCTTTTAATTACACGAAAGTTCGCAAGACGTAAATCTACAAATGCGCATAACTTCAAGCGAAATAATATATGTACGCTTGCTGCTTTTGGCTTATTAATTTTTTATTAACCAAAGTTTTGCAACTTATTTTCACTTGTTATTTGCTTATTTTCGTTTACAAAGTAGCGGGAAACTGTGAAGTTGCACAGAAAATGTTTCGCTTTGAAAGAGAAATGAAGCTTAAGACATTAAAAACAGTTTGCGAATAACTTTTTAAATTACTAAATTACGAAGCAGAATTGGTCACACAGACTTCAATCTTTACATATCCCTACAGTAAGCAGTCTAACCGTGTGATATCACGCGATTTTGATTGCCAATTGACCGGTAAAAAACGTGAAATTATCTGCTCACTGTAGTGTTCTCTCAATAAATCCCCTGTTTGATGCGATATGTGGGAAGTGGCGTTGAAACCAAATATCGCCGACATCACGAACTTCAATTTCAGGCATCAAATAGTCGTTTGTAATGGCGCGATAACGTTCGCCATTGATGGTTTCGTTCTCAATGTTATAATTTTTGAAGAAATATGGATCGAAGATCCCACCGGCCCACAAAACACACCAAACCGTTGTTTTACCTGGATGAGATGTCAGCTCTTGAATCTCTTCAGTTTACTCTTCGTCCCGAATGCGGCAATTTTGCTTGTTTACACAACCATTGAGCCAGAAATGCGCTGATGACGGCTGAACAAAATTTGGCGCTAAACATCGGATCTTCTTGAAGCTTTTCAAGAGCCCATAGAGCTTGGGAATGTGGAGCGGCATCAGTTCTTGTATTTTGTACGCTTTCAATGTAAGATCTCATCGCAAAATGCGCCAAGTCCTTCCATATGTCAGTCTGAGTTGCTATGAACGAAATAATTATTCCGAAACGCAGTCTATTAGTGCTTTTATGGTATTGCCCAATGCTCTCGTGGCTGCTGAAGATCACTTTGCTTTAAAGATGTGAAGGTTTTTGGTCACTTTTTTGTTGCTCGCTGTTCAGCATGATGAGCTTAGTCCACTAAGCGTAGAAAATCAAATTTTGAGATATCAATCTGAAATTTTACACACGACTTTTTCTCTCCAGGTTAGGTTATACTAGATCGCAAGGTAGATCCGAAATCGGTGAAGCCTAGTTGGACAGATATTCGTACATTGTGTTACCCATAAACTACTAAAAGGGTATTACCAGATATTCATAGATCGAGCTCAAAACAAATCTATTAAAGTTTTTAATATAAATCCCAGCCACTTTGTTAGGTCCTCCACCTGAGCTAGTCTACCGAGATATTTCAATCATTGTCTAACAAAAGCCGGACGTTAAAGGAGGAAGTGACAGAATGACGCCAGCTCGCCTTTCTCCATCCACCAAAGAGCGTTCGACGTAATATTTATCTGCACTTCCTGTGAGCTTTTTGGACAGTGTCAAGTCAGAACACGTAATTGCGGTGATATTTACTTTGTAAGGGGCACCGGTTTAGACCTACCTTTTACCGTTCAATCCGTGCCAGAAAGAAATTGTAGTCGCACAAGTTCTGGTTTTTGACCAAGTGAGCACTTGAGTTCAAAAGGTCTAACGCCAGAACGCAAGAAGACATCAGAAAACCGACTCGCTCGTAGGAAATTG